AAAAAAAAAAGAAAATAACTCTCACCACCTCCCACCTGTGAAGATTTACGGTCAAACTTTTCTCGCTTTACTTTCGTGTAATCATACACTGGAATGTCATCTGGGGGTCGATCACGAGGAAACTTCATCTGAAAAACGTAAGAAAAATGCGGCTTTCTATTTGCTGTTCGACATGTCCTCCATGCTGCATCAGCTACTGTACTTGAGTGTATGATAATATCAGATAGGGAATACCGTTGTGTTACGGTATCGACGGGTCAGTCGAGTTTGTTTCAAGCAGGAATTGAAGAATAGTCGTAATGTCACGACTTTTATATATTATGTATCCCATAACCATTTTTTGACTACACAATGAGGCCCACTAAGGAAAATGGACGGACCCACACTGAAGAAGGATATGGAAGAGATCGGAACAGTAGGGCCTGAGAATGAATAGTTAATTCACTACAGAGTCTAAACGACTAGAAAAGTCATACTTTGGACCAATCGTGACCGTCTTCGAGAGCTGGCTCCCTTTTTATCCGTTTGGTAGCCGGTGCAATCGTTTCACCGGTAGTAGTGCTACTCGACGCACCATTCACTGACGAGTTGTCATGCGACATTGATGTCTGAAACACTGACAATCTGCTCAGATTTGCTGCTTAGTGATTTGACCTGAATTTCACTCAATCTCACATTGAACAAAAAAATTCAGCTCACCCGTGCACCACTTGCACCTGTAGATGTTGAGGTAGTGATAAAAGGTTTTGTTTCATGGCTTGTAGCCTTGAGATTGACCTCTGACTGAAAAAAAAGTTCGAAAAGGGTCCATCTCACTGGCCAAGAGAGCTCCAAAGCTGTGAAGCTCTCTATGCCATGTATTCACGTTCGGTTCCACTCACCTTGATCGATGGAGAAACGGTCAACACTTCCGAGTCATCAGCAGAACACACACTGAAACTTCGTGTCTTTCCAACTTCAGTTTTCACGGGCTAGAAAAGTCTAAGTAAATTATTAAAACTGAAAAAATGTTCCAGTACGTAGAATATAGTCGGTGTAGCTAGTACTCACGATGTGCCGCTTAATCTCGTTGTAAGTAGGAATATAGTAGAAGCTAGCGACGTCATTATGTAGTCCTACTTTCGTCTGACTCCTTGAAAAAAAGCCAGTAGTAAGTTTCCTTCATCAATAAGGAGATGAATAATTCTAATACCTCAAAGAATGTAAAACATAGATGGTTAAGAAATGAGTCAAGTTGATAGAAATGCCATCCAGCAAATCCTGAGCAAGATACTTATCATTGTCGCAAATTTTCCACAACTTCATGAGATTTAGCCTGATCTCTTTCACTAACACAGCTGTAAATACAACATTATTTTACGAATTTATCCAAGACAAATTTCGAATTCGCGCACCGTATTCGATCATAGGATAGGACTCGTCTTCTCCTAGGAGACGTGTGCCTGCCCGCCAATTTAGAAGGTGTTCAGCAATAAATTTAATCAAATCTGCCCGCTGAAGTGAAAATATTTGCGATAACCTAATTCCTTGACGTCTCACAAGTTCAGAAATTCTTCAAGTAATAACGCCAAAGACGTAAAAGCCTAAACCTGTTGAGTCGATATCAACTCTTTAGGAAATACGAAGTTCAGTACACCGGTCATAAACGAAACGAGAGCGGGTTCTCGAAGGGCATAAGACCTCAAAAGGAAAAGAAATGATAGGATCACAGTATTGATAGCCAAAAACTTACTCAATTACAATCTCCTCGAAGTTTGTGAACTTTGGAAAACAGCGGTCGGCTATTCTCCTGCAAACACATTCCATTCATAAGATGATCAAAACCAAGTTTTAGAGTAATTAGGAAGAGCCAACTGCTTAGAGCAGCGCTTGGAGATTTCCCTTTAATCTTATTCAGAAAGCCATGCAATGACGAAACAAAAACAGGACGCGTCATCTTACATTTTTACTTGATGGCTGCAATTAATTCTTCATGCAGCTGACAGGTACAAAAGCCCAAAGTTTGCACTCATACTAAATACTCTGGCGTCGGCCTAGAACGTCGATCAATATCCTTTAAGTGGAAAGCTGTTCCTTCAATAGGAAATTTTTGGACGCTAGAAATACGCCATTCACATCGCTTTTTTTGTATGTTACTGATTACGGGTTCTAAGTTGGATGCTCAGTAGTTTTTGTTCAATTCTACCTTGTTTTCCATAGAATTTTTTGACGCCAGCGTAAGTAATATAAATGCTACAAATAGGTGATGGCCACTGCAAGCGTGCAGAGGATGCAGATAATACAGGAAATCAAGAGATTCCAAACGCACTTTGCTTCAAGGAGTTTACTTTGCTCCTTTACTTTTTGCACTTTATCGTGAATTTCCTTGATTAAGGAAGAGCCTTGCAACCTCTTACAAGCGTTTGCCCCAATCATGAACTCCATAAGAGCTTCGGTCGACATTTCTGACACCTAAAATGATGTAGGAAAATCAGGAGCACGCCACAAAAGATCTTATCATATTTACCTTTGACGCACTAACCTTATCTAAAATAGAGCCATTCCTTCGAGCATAAGCATGTTTCATTTCTTCAAGAAAAGGAACATAGTTTGACGGGTTCAAAAAGATTTCTTTCATATGAACCTATAACAACTCAGTAATATTAGTGCGCTTCCACACGAAAATGGAGCTGATCACCTAGCGTATGTGAAGGATAAGCATCGATTATACGAGCGTGTAATCGATACTCCCCCTCGAGACCCATACACCCTCTAACTAGATATCGGAGCAAAAAGGGTCAGTTATGCGTATTACTCGCAGAATATGACGCAGTAGATGCGACTTTTAGTGAAACGATGACAAAAGCCTCCATCAAAACCTTCATCAAACAACAATAAACATCTGGAAAATCAATCAGTCCATATACAAAACTGCAACAATTCAAACCACTGGTACATTGTGAATGGACAAGCTTGGATAGCATATAGTCGCAAAACAGAGCAAGTTTGTCTATTCACAATGCAAGTTGTTAAAAATCTTACAATCCACACGAACTGAGTTAATCTGAATGAAAAATAGTGCATCCAAGAAAGTCCTAGCCGCAACCGAAACGATATAACGAAGAAAAACCGGTGTTAATATAAATTATAACTACACAGTTGTCTTTCGCTCAGTTCGCGCTTTTTCCAGTTGTAAAGCAATTTGTTGTGCTCGTAAAGTCAATCGTTTGGTATTCTCCATCACCTTGAAAGCGCAAGAAATAGAAAAGAATATGTTGATACAGACTACATCGAAAGAGTAATAGGAGCACCTGCTCATGAATACTGACGGCTTTAACTCCCATTACGACCTGGCCAAGTTTACTGTCAATTTTGGCTCCCTCGATTCGGTAATTTCGAATGAGATCCACAATCCATCGTTCTGCTTCTACCTAACAACAAAAGGAGTCAACTTCAACGGAAACCAGATTATCTTCTACAATAATGATAGTAATAATGTCGGAGACCCAGTATACCTAACTGTACAAGGCATCAGCAAAACTTGGTCGAACATTAACTGGGCAACTTTTTGGGAAAAAAGTAACAGTTTCAACATTAGCAAATATGGGAATGATATGAATTTTGTGTAGTTTAACGCCGTACCTGAGACATATTGAGCCTTCTTGCAAGCATTTCTATGCTAATACATTGATGAATGCGACAGAACATCTCGAAGATAAGAAGTCGAGCTGATTCACGGAAGTCGGACAAACATGCAGTAAGGAAGAAGTCGTTTGACAACACCTTGATAACAATAGTGTGAAAATGAAACCCTTCGTTAACAAACGATTTCTTCACACCTCTTCACACTGCCGCAGCTTTTCTTGTGCCTCATCAAAATCGTATTTGATGTAAAGACATGTCAGAAAATCTGTCACAGGATCTTGATAGTTGTGGCGCTCCTAAACAAGGTCGGCTGGCAAATAAAAAATATTTCATAAAAGTTACTTCTGACGTATTCGCACTTACGATATCAATGACTTTGATGAGGTCTTTCAAGCTATTTTTCTGTTTATTTTTACTGGTGACGACTGCCACCGCCAAATAGCGAAGAAGATGCGGACACATAACCTGCAGAAAGCAGAATCATGAATGAACTTACAACAAAATGGGAAGAAATCAGTACCTGGATTGTGTTGAGATAGGTTTGCTGGTTGAGGAACATTTCAATAATATCATCACGTCCTTTTGGATAATTGAAGTAGACAAAAAGGGCCCAATGCATGAGCCATGCCCTTTGGTGGATCAGTTCCCACTCAGTGTCAAAAGGATTAGAGTCGATGTAAGCACGAAGCTTGACCAGATCATCTCGAGCATGGTCCCACTCCTACAGACACACAGAAAAGGTAAAGCTCGTAATCTTGCTTATATACATANATATATGTAAAATATATTAGTAAGAGTAATCGATATATTTACACATACAGCATTCATGCATGCATCTGAGTTAAATTCAGCCCAACTCAGGTTCCCCGGAGAAGTTAACAATAACGTCAAAAGCGTGACATACCTGGAGCAGAATCTCGCTGGCTAACTTTCCATATAGGGCATTTAGATAATTCGGATCAGCTTGTGGAACAAGATTACGATAGTAGTAAAGACAAACCTTGAAGTAAAAAAAGATTGAAAATCTTATTACTAGAAACGACAACGTTTGAAACAACTAGAAGACATCTTCAACCAATTAATTGCGTATTAGTCTATACCAGATCATCAGAGCGAAACGAAGAAAATACAGATCAACGAACCGAAGCAGCTGTGTAGTTGCCACATTCGTACATGAATTTTGCGTATTTGAACAAAGCATCGATCATATCAAGTTGGAACTAAAAATATGATCATTCAAATGTAAAGGCATCTTCAAAGTTGCTGGCACGCTTACGTTGTGATTTTGTTGCAGAAAGTCGAGTATTTTGTTATTTCCGTCTCGATCTCTTGTGCTTTCCATAAGTTCCTTCACATCATCCAATTCGAGAATTTCAATAACAGGGTCAACCTAAATTAGTTAAAGTTCGCATACTGGAAAATCCTCAGCAAGTTAAACACTTAAGAATACCCTGGCTTTCAAGATATCCCGCTCTTTGAGAACTTCGGCTCTTTTAGTCTCAAGTTCCTTTGGAATCGGCTGCCCTTGATAAGTCTCTGTTAAACTGTCAATCATATTTGTCTTCATCAGAACGCGGCGATGCATTTCAACAAGGGAAGCATCATCGTAAATCTAAAAAGCGAAAGAAGAATTACGGCTGTGGAGAACGTTGTAATAGGTTAAAGTTTTTACCTTGCGAGGTTCGATGAATTCCAATAAAGGGATGATCAAATGCAGATCAAAAAATGGAGCCATACATTTGGTCAAGTCATATTCCGCCATGTTGAAAATCAACTAAAATCAGTTCGAAAAAAGATTTGGAAAGGACATCACAATCACAATCATTGATATTTTAGTCGAATTAACTATCGTTCATTGCGACATCAGAAAACAGAATTAAATTGCACTAATAATAACAAGGAAAGAAAGTAACAACCACGATGCACTCCTGATAAAATAACCATAATCAGCTTCAAGCTATTAGATTGGTAAATATTGGGGTGATAGTCTCAACCAAGCGGACAGAAGGTTGGATGAAGCATGGTACTGTGAGGAGCTAACATCACGAAGAAAAGATTTTTCAATCAGACGAGGTTACAAAAAATGCAACGCTGGATAAAATGTGAGTGCTCTGACTAACAAGAATCATGTAACCGCTGAATAAAGCCCAGTTTTACGAAAAACCACTTATTCAGGAATGTCACAAAAGCAAAGAAACTCCACATGTTAGACCTTTAATTCTACGTTCTTTCCTTGAGAATATTTCAAAACCACTTATCGAAATGAAACTTAAAAGTACATGTATAGTGGAACTTCGAAGACAACCATCATCCATACGGTAATTTAAAGGTTAGAGTTACCGCTAGAGCAAAGAAGCGGGACGGAGCGCAGGAACTGACACGACCTACAGGTTCCAGTACTAATCGTAAAGTTAGCTGGGACTTGCCAATTTGTCGAAATGAATGAATTGAGTATGTTCAGAAAACACAGATATCAGGTAAGTCAATCGGTCAGTCCGGTTGGGTCTATGGTTGCTTTCATACTATTGACGCCATCGTTGGCGTTCGTCGTCGATCAGTGAGACTGCAGTCGGTGTCAATTAGAGTGTAAAACGAAGCGGAAATGCTTCATATCAAGCGATGTTCAATTGGAAGTCGAAGAGTTTTGTGAGTACTCCACGTTTTGCAGGTACTTCTGACATGTATTGCTATGTAATCAACTCAGGTGCAGTCTACAGGTTCAGTACTCTCCGTTATGTGCTCAACGCTCCGCGCTCAGCGCTCAACGCTGTACTCTGAATACGCCCTGTGGGTTGCAGCTCCTTAAGCACGGTTTTTTATGCAGTATAAATCTGTTTCTCGCTGCATAATCGGAAATTTCTTTATTTTAGCAGCTTTCACGGTATCTTTTGAGACATCTAAGACCATTATTTCAAGATGGTCATTTTTTTNTTTTTTTCTGGCATTTTTATATTACTTGGTATTGTATCGGTTTTTCTCGGTTGAGCAAATCGATAAGGAACTATTGCACGGAAAACAATAGGAAATATAAGCTGTTCAATATTACATTTCACATAAGAAATACCAGAAAACATTTAATGAAATGCATCCATGGCTTTTTGATAGGCAGTTGATCGTCTGTTAACGATTGCGACTATGACAACGGTAAGAGCGATGGTAATTACAACGGCCAAAGCAATAAGTATCAAAGCTGCTCGTGAGAGGCAGATGTGTGGAATCGGAGTTACCGGTCGGTCGGATTCTGAAACCAATTTGTTTCAATTATGGCATCAAAACATTACTAACAAAGTGTTAAATCAAAGAAATACACCGGCGGATAAAACCTAAGGATGCTTGCTTTTGCATGAAATGTTATTGCTAAGCAACATCGTTTGGTGAGTCTACCACTACAGATAGAAAGAACTGCGGGTACAGTACACCTAAGTATTAGGATGTGCGGAAGGTATCTGCTGGAATTTTCACAGTACTCAAGATTCCTCTCGTGTTTTTGGAAGCTTTGATAGAATTATTATGTAGACTTTTGTATGCGCATAACCAGTGACGGTATTCATCCCCGAATTCCCACGGCAAGCGGCAGTGGTTCCGCGACAGCTACCGTATCCTCCAAGTAGGAATTCAAACAATTCCCTTCACAACGAGCGACCACGCGCGATCGAGTGCGGCGAGCGCGAAGCGATTTTCGGGGAGAAGTACCTACACTCACGCATCACATTTCATGCGATCGCACTCTGTTGACCAGATCGACGTTCAACTCCGACCTGTCCGTTTCGGGATGTGAAGCCTCGAATGGAGATGGACACATTGCCGCTCAAAAGGGATTCAAAGCTTCATGCTTGAACAATCTTCAATGGGTTTCAGCAGCGGAATAGCCGGATTCGAACTCGTAAACTAGTACGTGCTGGGCATGGGTAGGTAATCCTGTTAATCTACTGGAAAATAGGTATGGAAGAGGTAGCCGGATATGTTATGGGTGCGGGATGCTCTAGTAGTGAAAACGCCTGGGAGCATCCAGAAAATCCTTGGAGAATTCTAATTATTGTGAGTACTGCGAAATTTTCGGCAGATACTTTCCGCACAACCTATATAACAGTGTAATCTTAGCAATAGGGCTAGTTCTTCGCGGTGCACCACCAAGCAGGTATTGATTTCATCAGCGTAAAATCGATATAAATTTTCGAGTGGAGGTATCTGTTTTGCAGAATGAAGTATGAAAGCAGCCGAAATAGTGTATGAAACGTACTTGTTTTCTCAAATGGAAGCACAATAACATCTACGCTGAGGTCGGTCTCCATATTAAGATCCCTTCTTTTCTTTTTAGTTTTGTCACTGGTGTCATCTAAAAATACCGCACCACTTTAGAGGTTCTCATGTCGAACTCGAGTTTGCTATGAAAAGAATAATTATTTCAATTGATAGAACATAAATTTTTGAGGCAGCTGGTGCAGTTCATAGTAATATGTAATATACGTTAGGAGGACATTAGTAGAATTTTATGTAGAGCAATCTTGAAACTATGAAGTTTCCGCTAATAGTAATCGTGACCAAGACTGGCATATCCCATCTCGAAGGCACAGTTTACGACGGAATTGATTTTCTAGACTCTCCACTGGGATGAACCTGTAGCTCCCAAGAATGTATGGGACATTGTCGAGTCAAAAAATGGTCTGGGCAAGGCGTAATAAGGGTTCTAAAACCGATCCGGCCGATGTATACACCCAAATGTGGCCGTGTTGTACCGGTCTTGTTAAGGTTGCACCATTCGCGATGAAGCGTTAGGGAGCCGATGAAGCGCATATATAGGAGACACTCTGACGATTACAGACACACACACTTCCTTTCTCACAACTTCTTTTTGAAACCTTATATTTCTCAGACAACGCCGATTTTTGCAATTTCTCTGCCATTTTTTGTCTTATTCTTACTATTACTTTCATTATTCTACTCAAACTAAATAGCTCGGAATTATTGTGGACTGTGACTTTGACGCCTTGAAACAGCCTAGGAGGCTACGCTGCCGTTTCTCTAATCGACATTTGCAAAGCTGGATGGGAATTCTATGAAGGAAGCTCATGGAATCCTGACTTACCTATTGTTGTTAAGTTTTCACCAACATTTGTTATATCGTCGATATCAGTCTCGTTCAAAGGGCTGTCCCTGTACGGGTGGCTGTAAAAGCGCTTTGTGAGAGCGTTGACAGTACTGTGGGTATTTGAAGTATAAAAGAGTGCACTGTGAATAGATTTTCAGATATTAACCCCAATTTAACTCACGTCACTCACCTCCCTGTTTATACCCTCCGTCCATACACAAGCTCCCGTTTCCCAATGGTCTACGAACATAATTTAGACCTACACACGTTGAGCGCTTAGACTTTTCCAGTGAAACGAGCCCACAAAAATACCAGCCGAACTGATATCTGATGAAGAGCAATAAATTCATCTGCCCAGAAACCCCAAAATTTGCCGGAGATTTCGGTCAGAGGACTTACTGCAGCAGAATTCTCCCAAATTCCCCTCTACCATCGAATTCTCACGCAATGTCATTCTTAGGAAAATAGTATTAGTGGCTTTGCTACTAGCCAGCCAAAATTGCAGAAACAAATAGCTGAACTGAGTAGTACGCACCTATCAAAGTCCCTAGACCCGTCCATTGGTTCGAAAAAGTTCCTTTCTCGAGGAGGTGGTCCAGTGAAAAGGCCATCGAAGTAGTCTAGGTCTCTGTGACCATCCATATTTGGAGGGCCGAAATGCGGTTCAGGGTGGTCATCGCCGGTCATCGGTTCAAATGGGATTTCTTGTGAGAAGTTGGGTATTCCGAATGGCTGTTTGACAGCTGGTGTTGTCCCTTTTGTGACCATATCCGATTGTTGACGAGTATCGTTTTGGTCACACTTGGGTGGCTGAAAGTAGACTATCATTGTTCTGAATAACATCAACTTTATCTTAATGGGTGAACGTAAGCTTCAGTTAATAGAACTGCATGGAGCACTGTACCGACTACTAGTTCTACTGCAGGCATGATTCACCAGCTACTTTTGCCACCCTCAACTGGTACTCGGCCTATTCACTTATGCACAGCAATAAGTCTCTTTGGAGCAGGCATTCTCGTAGAGGCGTCGTGCTTTTTTTACGGCTTACTACATCGTTTGCAAGATTTTTTGCCAATTATCGGATCCGTTGTTGCCTAGGTATATTCGGAGTAAGTTGTATGGTATGCCTGTCATGTGGGTACAAGCACATTCCCAGCTGAAACTGGATTCCTTGCTTTTTCTGTATCCTCAGCGGTATGGCATACATATATTCTATATAGTCTACTTCAGAGTTCTATCGAGAAAACATTCTGCCTTAGGGGGAGTAGGTCCCAGATAAATTCTTCAAGATCCCTATACTTGTTGGTATCGCCTTGGCTTTACTTCGGCGCGGGATTATTCCCATAAAGGGATACTATGGGTCTATTTATACTACCACCTCTATAACAACTACGAAGGCGCCTTCTTAGGATTCTCGTTTTTATCACAGTTTTTGCATATTATGAGAGTCTTAGTTCCGATAATGGTGGCTTTCCTGACCCAATCCCATCAACTCAAGATGCCAATCTATCGTATTTCTCAGAGAACAATAGAATTCATACCGTACCGTCACTCCATCGCAACCGCCATCATGCTTGTAACACAACTGAATAGTGCAGGTAAAATACAATTGTACCTGAATGGTGCTCGATTTTGAGTATTTCGATGGGTTATAAACTTTGTCGGACCTTGTCAGCATACTTGAACACATGGGCGTCCGTAGATGCCGATAGAGACTTTGGATCGTACTTGATTTGGGGCAAAAGATAGGGATCCGTTGAACATCTGCAAAAACGTTCTTNGGATTCTCGTTTTTATCACAGTTTTTGCATATTATGAGAGTCTTAGTTCCGATAATGGTGTCTTTCCTGACCCAATCCTATCAACTCAAGATACCAATCTATCGTATTTTCTCGAAGAACAATAGAATTCATACCGTACCGTCACTCCATCGCAACCGCCATCATGCTTGTAACACAACTGAATAGTGCAGGTAAAATACAGTTGTACCTGAATGGTGCTCGATTTTGAGTATTTCGATAGGTTATAAACATTGTCAGACCTTGTCAGCATACTTGAACACATGAGCGTCCGTGGATGCCGATAGAGACTTTGGATCGTACTTGATTTGAGGCAAAAGATAGGGATCCGTTGAACATCTGCAAAAACGTTCTTCCGAGGGCTTCCCAGAAACCAAAGATGACCGAAAGCTATGTCTTGCAGATTGTCTTGTCTAGACAGTTCTATCTGTTATGGACTTGAATATCTACAAGATGGCGAAGACGTAGACCTAGATGACTACATGGAGAAGTTCGTACTTCACGACTGTACCACCCGCAAGATCAAGTCCAGAACTTCAATACGCGGCTCGTTTCCAAACAGGAAACACCCGAGGCTTCAAACCATCACTTACCCTCGATCATCGACCAACTCGAATTTGTTGCCTTGGCCATCATCCGCATAGCAGCTGTGGATTAGTAGACCATAGATCCAACTCGAATCTGTCGTTAACTCATGATAAACTGCAAACCGATTTCGTTTCCGTATCATTGCTGAGTTCTATTGCATGGCCTAAGCTGTACAGTTATTCTAACACTGGCCAGTTCGAAAGCGACTCAAATCCTGCGTTACTAGGAGCCGGATGCACCCACTTCTGTAGCCCTTAGAGACTGTTGTCGTATTGTAATGAGTTTAATTATACATTTGTGCGAGAAGGAACTCTGAGTATCGGTAGCGACGTCATTTTGGAGTCATACTATGACGAGACAGAACCTACAATCCAGTAAGAACGAAGGCTGCTGCTTCAAATCTCAATGCCGACTTCCTTTTAAGAAATTTCTTTGGAAATTTCGTTCTAGTTAATAATCACTTTTCTAAATGTAAAGTACTCTCTTGGAGGCGTACAGCAAAGCTCCGGTCGGTTCGGTATTATTGTAACAACCACTTAACATATAATACCATAGTTAGGAAATCTTCTTCATAAAAACCCCCTCCCCTCCCCTTGTTCCTTGTTGAAAATTTTGAAAATCGTTTTAAGAGTAGATTCCTGGAGCTATCACTAGTACTCTTCAACTAGTAGGATCTCACCATCTTCACAAGTCCATCGATGAGTAACCCGCTGTCCTACCTGAAAATAGAAGAAATTTCATGGCCGACAAACAAGCTGCACTATCTCTTTAAATTTATTCTCACACTTCAGAAAACAATTAAAAATAACTAATGATTTCATGCATACTGCCTAAAGTGTGGGAATATATATACAAGGGTCGCTGGAAGCTAACAGCACGGACCTGCGCAAAATGAATAGCTGGCCCCGATGGCCCATCGTGCAGCTGATAGACACAGTCTGGCAACTGAAAGTCCTGCTCAACCAGTTCGGTTTGAAGCTTGCTAGAACTTTACAACCCACGAGTTATTGACGTTTTCATAATTAAAGGAGAAATGTTTCGTACTGTACAAACCCGACACCATACTCGGTAGCAAGGCTTTTGATTGATTCCAGGAAGAAACAACGAACGTGAAAAGCTCGATCCATACCGGTCACAAAAAGCTGAAATTCCTTTCAAAAACCCTAAAAAATATGAAAAATAACGAACACGCAATGTGTGTACTTTTTGGGGAGCAGTTGCCACTTCTGAATGACATTGTGCGGTGGGACAACTAACTGAGATGGCAAAAGAACACGAGACTATTAGATAGCAATCGCTACGTGCTAGAAGCGGATAAGGAGGAACGCCAACTATCATGGGAATTAGAGGTTGTCACGTCGGTTAGTTTTCTTTAAATCTGTCTGCGGGGATAACGTTTTTTTCCCTTTGCCTGATCACAAGTGCTACCATACATAATAATGTTTGATAACAAGTGATACTTGAACTTTTTACGAAATTCTGGCACTTTTACCTCATCTTCAACCTACCGGATGGAAAGATACGACGAGCGTAAAGGAAAACGAAACTCCTCGTGGGTGCATCTAAACGGTTTCTTGTTCAAGAAGTTTGAACTTAGTGTAACCATGAAAATTTCGGTTACCGTTCTTTGTCTTCGCATGTTGCAAGCACCAATGGGCAGATTAAAGCGAGCATGATTGGAATCATGATCCTTGCCGTTCTGCAAACACTGGCGATTCTCAATTTCGCCTTGGACATATAGCCGACCTGAACAAGTTGGATTGTTTATAGACCTCGACATGAGGAACTCTCAACTCCTAAGTACTCAAAATAGTTTCATCCCTCCAAAAATATCAAGCGATCACTTTGTGGGTGCCCTCCTTATCCAACACCCGAACAGAGGGGTAGAGATAGGTGAAGACCGAATTTCCTCGGCTAGTGGTATTGGTTTCGAGGCAGTTACCGTAATCGCCCATCGAAGTCATTGCCTACCCTCCAAAACGAGCAACTACCAGCGATTGAGTGTGGCGGGCGTGGCACGACCTCACAGTTCAAGAACCACACCACAGATAGGGCTGCCGCTTTTTCAAGTGGCAGGACCAACGACGTTGGGATCAGACCTCTAAGTTCGATGTCGCTCAACGCTTTCGGCGGGCAATGGAAGGTGCTTTTCGACAAAAACGGCTGGTTTAAATGTTCCCAACACTCAAAACCGGCAAATATCATCAGCTTAAACCGTGGCCACCGTCTGTATCTGTCTATCTTTTCTGTTAGTCCCTCCATCCTACATCTCTCACGGTATGAGTGAAGGGTTACGGTGTAATTCTGAAACTTGAACAACTCTAATATTTCGAAGGACACGTGAACAGCCTTCATGCAGTATAGTAACTAACAGGAGTTCTGATGTGATGATGGGCAATCCGGTATACAGCAGTTGGTTCATGCTCGTTCTGCTACAGAGCACAAGTCTCTTAATTATCCAAGGTGAGGAGAAAAGAAGGACCAGCTCTCGAATACGNCGAATACGTCAGTTACCGGACTGCGAGATTGTTTGCGGAGAGTTACTTACAGTTCAACCTTTGTTTTCAAACTGCCGTTCTTAGTATACCGAATCGGTTGCTTACGGTTCAGCCTTTCATTTCAAAGTGCCGTTCTTGGTACCCCGGATCGGTCTCCCTCTTCCTCCTTCATTCAATGGAAGCGTTTTAAAGCGCAAAATCTAACTGAGCCTTACCTCGGAATGGCTTTTCTGTGACGATATCGACAACTATATTATCTACTCCGCAAAACACCACTGGTTTCTGGACCACTCTGTTTTCGATATCGAACCGTTGTGCCGTTGCCAAGCACTGCAAAATACCAAAAACTTCGATAGGAGAAATAGCAATTGAACATGTCGGTAGTAATGATGAAGGTATTCACAATAAGTTTGAATACAAAATCCTACCGGTTCTATTGAAGCGAAGGGGAGTGAGGTAATCTCTGAGCTATAAGGGAATGAATTGAACTGAACTATACAAAATATTGAGAATTTATAAACTACAGCTTTAGCTTTTGGTTCAGGCTGTTGGTTTCAGAGACTGTTCGAGTTGCCAGGCATGGCAAGCTTCAAGAGAGGGAAATGATTGTGAGACAGACAGCTGCAGCTGAGCAAGTTTCACTGAAGCGCTGTTCACAGATTATTCAGAGGTGGAGAGTAATAGGTTAGGTAGTCGTAGCACTTAGCAGAGTAGATTGCTACTTCTAAAACGTCTCTCGCACGAAACTACCGTGAGTCGTGTTCCCAATCATTTGATCTCCATCTTCACTAGGTTCCATTTAATCCTGTTTTCACTTACATGGATTTTGCTAGATAAATATCCCAAGGAATAAGCCCAACTGAGCAAATGTGAAGAGGCTGTGCGTGAATAGTTGCAAAAAAGTCTGGAAATCCAACCTTATTCCGATCAAGGGCCGTTGAAACTTTGGCCAAACGTATGTATGTACATAGCACCACCACATTAGTAGAGGGTTCTATTAGTGAATCGATTAGGAAATGGATTAAATTCAAAATGATCTAATGATTTCGCTATTCTAGAAGGAGCTAATAGAATGGTAAGCGGGAGAAGTTGAAGGCACAGTTCACAATAAAAATGGCTTATGATATATCTCGCTGGGATAAGTCTGGACCCCTTCGTATACGATATATGGCGGAGTCAGGTCGGAAAACGGTCTGGATAAGAATTGGACCGTGTGCATACGCGGACGAGTTTCATCGCCATAGTAGAAACTGCACCATACACGAGGGAATTCATCTAGGAAGTTCATACAACTTGCCATGGTCTATAGAGACAGCCAGAGGAAATTCTGAACAGTTTAGGCCTGATGTAGTCAGCTTTTTACGCAATTGCAACAACTGAAATCTCGCCCAAATAACCCTTTCATGTCATTTCCGTCATGGTAATCTCGTATAACCCCTATTTTCACTGCTTTTGGGGACCCTTATTTTTCATGGAATCGGCGAATTTTCTTGCTTCCATCATCGCCGAAACACTACTCTCGAACAATACTTCCGCTTTTCTATTCAAAGAATTTAAAAAGGGTACCCCAAGATCACCGTGAGCTGTGCCTTTAAACAACATCAAGCGGTTGCCTGATAGAGCTTAGTTCATAAGTTGTAGAAGACAGTCAAGAGGAATTCGAACTAACGATTACCCACAACCCCAGCAATGCTTTTTGGTGAATTACAAGTATGTGCTGGCGTAATGAGCTCTTAGTTGGTTTTCTATAGAAAGAACTTGACCGCTAACAGAATTGTTTGGAAGGCATATCATGAGGCCGGTAGGGCAACGTTAGGTTTAAACTAATCAAAACAGAAGTGAAAAGCTCTTAAATCTCTTTTTCTCAACTTGGAAAAGTATTATACATCGTTTTTTCCCACCCTATAAAGGTCCTGAGGTCTTTTTCTACAAAAGTCTCAGGGTTTCCCTTATAAGGGATACTCAACAATGAAACGGCTTCAGCATTCATCGACGTCTCGAGTAAAGGATGTCTCGTCAGTACATGAAACATACTCAGAGAATGGTTCTGAATAAGTGCGACTCATAAAATATGATGAATCACCCACCAGCGCCGTAGCTACCAGTATACGCATGAGTATAATGACGACACTGAGACGACGACTGACTAGCAACTAGCTATGAGCTATTCTGTGATCTTGGTTATATAGCGTGTATTGGGTCAGACGAGTTTTTGAGTATATCGCTTTCGCGTCGACTAGATGGTAGATGTGTTGCGATACAATTGTATCATCTGTAGGTGTAAAAATACTAACGACCAGATTGAAGAGCAGTCGATGAGCGGATTAACGAGCTCCTCTTAGTAGCTGGAAATACCCTGCCTCCAGCAACTCCCTACTGCTCTCGTGTTCAGGAGTAAATACGATATCGAAAAGCTTGACTGTGAATTGCAGTGACCGTTGGGTCTTCTAGAGCCCTCTGCAAAAGAGCAACAAATCAACCAACTGTCACGAGTTGCTGAGCAACGAATCAACCAACTGTCTTGAGCTGCTGGTGCTTTCGATATTCTTTACTCAAAAATGAAACCACCTAGGACAGATATGCGGGGGCTTGAATCACCATGAGGAACAGAGAAGAAGCTTGAAAACATAGGAAGAATCAAAGCTAACAACACTCAAGCCATTGAAACAATTTTCATTCATCTAAGGGAAAGCCGACAATTTTCTTAGGCTCATAAGAGCGTCTACCCTTCCACAGCGATTGAAAACGGACTAGTCAATTTCTTACCCATACAGTTCTTGGTAACTTAACTGGCAACACAAATGTAAATGGGTTTATGAAAACACAGACTGAAACGTCCGCCGGGAACCGTAAGCCCATAGGCGGAACCCAGAATAGACCAGTGTATTAGTGGGTTCCTGGCCGACCTCAGTTCAGTATTCAGAATAAAAACAGCATAGACTCCACTAACGGGCTCCTAGTGAAGACTCATTTGGGTAGAGCGCTTGTGAATGGAAGGCTGGTTACAAAAATGGAGACTCAACAAAATTACTACCTGGATCTTAGAGTAGGTTTCGCCTGTCAAGAACCTCGACATGGTTGCAATCGGATGTAGCTCGTTTTGAACTCTCATTTGCTTGCTACATACTTGTTGCTTGCTGCGCGCGCTTTCTTCTCAAGACGCTGTTCTGGGACGTTTAGCATTACCCTTTGTTTAATGCCCTTCCTCGGTCTCCATTACTGCTTAAATTTCTTTGAACTTGGGAGCCTCCAGGCTTCATCTTCCATAGACCCCCTTTGAGGTATTCCTGTTAGAAGGCTTTATTAAGGACCAATCACATGGTATAAGAAATCTCTGTTTCTAGGCTCTTGTTCCATGATCGTACGGAACTCCCAGTCCATTCATCATTCTTTTACAAAGCATTCTTAGTTCTTTGTTAAACCTCTGAACGGCTAACAAAGACTAATTGCTTTTTTCTCAAGCCACGAGGAGTCGTAGTCGAACAGGTAATGCCTCATAATCGTCACAAGCTTGATATATGCCAGCAAAAACTTCGACAGGCAAGTTTATTCCAGCATATTCTCTCGATCGACTTGGGTTCGGTTTATGATTTCTTCAGNTACACGAAGTTACTGCTTGGTACAACTCCCGGACCGGTGGTGCCTTGAAAACCATGATGAGGTTGTTTCTATAGGGGTAATTATAGAAAGAAGCTGGCTTAGGTAAAGTCAATAGATTATTTAGTTTTCGCTTATCGCTAAAGAACCGAGGAAGCTCAGGCGACTGCTTCTTTATTCATGAGTTTACAGAAGTCCTCACTAAATGCCACAGCTGGCCGTTGGTGGGATTGATTTGCTAGCCAGAACTTGAACTCTAAGGACTTCAGTTCATCACCTATCAAAATTCACCGGAACCCTGAAAGGAACCAACAAAATTTGTTACTGATATTTATTTTACATCAAAAACATGACAATAGTTAGAAGAGAAATAAATATGTAGGCTCCAGTAACTGAAAACATCCTCGACAACACAAATTTTGCAGTCCATCCGTCTGAAAATGATCGAACTAATGTTTCGACAACTATGGCAAAATTGGAATTCTTCCAGTAAATCTTGTAAAAAAAAAGAGCGTAGTTTCATATACATGGCGCATACCTATTGAGGTAGGATACTTTCTGAGTACAGGTGATTTCCGATGATAAAATCGCCAGACCTCTTTGAAAGTGACGAAGAAAAAGCCGAATGCCGATAGAAATAGGTGCACAACGAAGAATTGAACTGAAAACTGTTTGAAAATTAAAAAATCACGTTACATTCAATAGAATTTTTAGCTGTAGCATGAAGATTTTGAGCCAGATTTATACGTTCAGAAAGATATTCTCGGGATATAATACTTTGTCGAAGAATGGAAATGTATTTGCTCGATTTTCCCACTGTTCACCACTATTCTGGACTTAGGATTGGCCATAGAAGGTGTAACAAACCCAGTGACAAATGGGAAGAAGTCGTTCGTCATCCGGGAAATACAGCCAGAGAGTGGCTTCGTTCGAGGTTGAAAAACGTCCTGCACAACCTTTTTGCACTGCTGAACGAGTAACGGAACATTGAGTCACTCGTGGTGCTTGCGTGGCGACTCCAGCACCAAGAATTTAGACTTCCACTAGGGAATTTCGACTTCCTAAAGGTTCTGAGTGATGACCCACTCAGGTAAACTGTTTAAAACTGGAGGCTGGTTAAAAAAGCTAGATACCAAACCAATTTGCTACCTAGATCTTTTACTAATTGGTACTTTTTACCTCTTACACTGAGGTGAAAGAGCTCAGGTTCATTACTATTAGCTGCAGGATTATGGGAACCTGCTCGCAATTTGACAATCCGCTTCGAAGAGTGCGCAGTGACTCACTACTCATTCAGCTTCACCACCGGCTTACGGCGTAAACCATTACCTTCAAACCAGAGTGTGAAGGATACTTCAAGCTACTACGTCATTTGAAGAACAGTGCTCAACCCAAAAAACAGGTGCCATCAAGACGAGGCTCGTCAAAGATAAGTGCTCTGAGCAGGATCGTGGTGAGATACTTTTCCGATCTCGGCAGTCCGTACTAAATGGAAACTCACGAATTTTCGGCAGGGAATCATAGTAAAGAGGAAGTCTGTCGATAAAATCTCGGATAAAGAGGCCTTGCAAGAACAAGCCTATGAGGAAGAAGCCCATCGCCTGTGCTGAGTCCGTGACAAGCGCTCCTGCAAGAGATTTCGAGACAAACGGACTGGAATAGTCGAAATAAGTCTATACCGGCTATATTGAATGCGACGAATACCAATGCTGGCACATTCAGTGTGTAGAAATATGAGGGATCGTGCCTACGGAAATGAACGGATTGGATAGCCACAGTACTGCAATTGGCTTGGAAATTCGCTTTCAGGAATGAACACACAAAAAAAATTTAAAAAATCGAAAAATTCAATGGGCAAAGTGAACCTACAACGAATAGGGTGCCAATTTTTTGTCGGTGATATTGCCATAATCATAATAACCGATTTTTGACGTCACGTTCGTAATGCGCCATCCACTGACAAGCGGTCTAGTATCGTTCCTGGTCAGAACATGCCCTGCAAGGGAACCCAGGAAATGCGGTGCCATCGGGGCGTTGGACTACGAAACACTTACGGAGATTCACTGAGAGCTCCTTGTTGGCCACTGCTCGACGTCCAGCATAGAACTGTACATTTGTTTGTCCTTTAGCTGACATAAGGAACGAACACACGTGTTGATCGTTGGGATAATTGGTCATATCTATATGGAAAGGCTGACAGGATCGGATTCGGAACGGTAAAGGGTGGTTTCCAAGGTGGAAACCCTTTACGAATGCGCTCAGGTGCTGCCAATATGATGGAAAAGGGTGTTAAAGGTGTCCTAAAGGAGAAGCTGAGAAATCTAACGTGTTGGCTATGTTGCGAATTTTTCGCGCGCTATGAGCGGCACATTCAATGGGTCTCACTGGATTCGCTAGCTTTTTAACAAAAGTTCAATCAACCCTCCAAGAAAGAGCACTGAGAAACTGCCCAGAAACTTCAGAGAGAGGCATTTTCTGCCACGCAGATGAAAACCCATTCACAACAAACCTAAGGAGCAGCCCACTCGTCCCGTGTACCTCGGACAGGTGATCACATAGGCTGGCTCCTGAAACAGTCACATTAAAGATCTGTCAAATCTCTCGATACTATCACAATGCCGAACAGTACAAACTCACATTTGCGCGAAATCGTGGAATGAAAAGCTTGACTCGTGAAACTGGTGCATCCAGGTGTCCATATACTCCAGAAAGGCTGAACAAGAGGTTTAGTCGGGTAGGGGCTTGCTTCATGTAGTACTTCTAGTTTTCAAAACAATTAGCGTAGAACCGTCCGAGAAAGGATGGACTCCATGGTCTTTTCTGTGCTTCTTGAGCACCCGTTGATTGCTTCCACCATTATGTTCCACTACATACACAAAACAACAAAGTCAAATCACGNTGACTTTACATGGTCATCTGAATGGTATTTTTCCGTTAGCTTATCAACATTACACTTATAACGTCATGTAAAGAGCTGCTTGGCCGATATCGACAAGGGAATTGAAATTAAATTTGCAAAATATGCTGAAGATTCATTCATTTTGAACTGAGAAAAGCTGCGAGAGTATTGGAGTGCACTGTTTAAGCACGTTACCTGGAAAGTATAGAAATGGCTTCAAATTCGGTCTAGGGCCACGAGTGTTTTTATATATAACTTACATCAGTGTTCCGCTAGAAGCAGGTGGTGTAGTGGCGCAGGCGACGCACTATCTCACACGCATGGTCACGGGTGCAATTCCTGGACCTAGGCCAACCAAGCCTTACGGGTTGGCCAATTGGTACCAGGCTTGTCAGGGAGGATAACAGCCTTGATTTGTTCATCGGCTGGCCCCGCCACTCATTGTACAGGCCACATACTCATTCGATACGCCATTACGATTCTGAATCGAAGTCGAATGCGTGGGAGCATCACCTAGACCAGATTGTTTAATGTCCCAAGAGTTTTTAGACTTTAAGTATTTCTTTGGACTNTCCTCATTAAGGTTTCCTTACAGCTTCTCGAAGGGTAGTACATTGTTACTTTCCGGTACAAGAAAGCTTTGGAAGACAACACAAAAAATGCCATACCCATTCATAATAACAATCCTAGGAGTCCACACATCGTAAGATCCGACGTGTAATGTGTCCAGATTGTTGTAGTTGGCAGGGTCCCATGTAATGTGTGGATCGCGCCAGATCTAAACGAGCTCATAATTGTCTAATAGAACTGAATTTGTCTTATAACAGGCTTTTGAAAGTGGTCTCCAATTAATTCTTGCTGTCGCTTTTTTCTAGAAAAGTGGTTCGGCGATGTCATTTACCATGCAATAACGGCCGGAGATCGCCATTACTTGCTCCTTCTCGTCTATTGTTATATGATCCACGCTGTGGAAAATGAATTGAATGTCGATCTGCAATAAAAGAGCTACGGTAGAATTCTAAACAAGAGGGTAATTGTGGAGGCCGCTGACAAAGGCACACTTTTTACTTCACAATGTATTGTCAAAAATCTTGGGCGTAATCAGTCCCATTCTAGAGATGCCCCTGCATTCGACTTTCACGCTTCCATTCAGAATCGCAACGGTCAATTGAATGCCTGAGCTGTGCGCAAGTGCTCTTATCCCCCAGACGAGACTGCTACCGGTTAACCGAGGCCGGGGGGATGGAAGGCGCGGTTGGGCTGAAGAAGTATCGACCTTAGGTTCGATATCCGGACCATACGTGTATGACGGAGCTTCACTTACTCCCAGATCATCATTTCTACATGTCCTTGCCGGATAAGCCATGCTACCGACCTCCATTTAGAATCGCTGGGGCTGCTCATATAAAAATCTGTTTTTTGTCACTCCACGCCAATTAAGTATTATTAACACCTGCGCTAGCAACCATAAGTAACTTTGGGGCAGGTAGCCTCAGCCGGTGTCACTTCCACTAACTGTAGGTCAATCCTACCAACCTATCTTCTCTTTTAGTAACCAATTACCTAAGTAGTTATGTATTAATATTATAACGAAGCTTCGGTCAGTATTCAGGAAGTGGGGGACCTGAATGACATTTCCCAGCCCTGTGCTCGGTCCGACACTAATCTCTCTGAGCACTTAGATCGGCCTAGCGATTTCTAACAATATAAAGGGAACTCTTGCATCGTGAAAAGGACTATAAATAACCCCTCCGAATCACGTCTTTGCATTCTTCAAGACACTGCCTACGAGAGGCCTTTCACTGGAATTAAACGGAAATATTTCATCAAGCTCTGCGTTTTTGCTGAACTGAAAAAGTAACTACCTGCTTGTCATTACTTTGTGGAGCGACTTTGTAATTCACTTTGCTCAGCACGTCCTTTTCTATTTGACGTACCCAATTATGATATGAAATGTTTCGATCTGTAAAATTTCGATAAATGAGGATCGTTCTTGATTCTGACTCGAAACTCTTCAAGCTTCAACTACATTTTTTTCATTCTAATTTCGGTGAAGTGAAAAAAGCTGTGCACTGGCCCAAACATAAAGAGGTTTCCCCGATTGCGATTCACAAAATGATTATGCGTTCAGTGTTTTTCTGATTTTCAACGTTCTACTGAAGCGAAAACGATCTGATCAGGTGAAATGTCAAGTCGAAAACCTAGGAAGAAGCCTGCTTAAGGTGAATTTTCGGTAAACCTACCGCAAAAAGAAGTCTCACCTCACCTACCTCTTTCCTTCTGCTCCTTGTTTTCGTCATTCGGATCATCGTAATAGTGGATTTCTTCTTTTTGAGCCACAAGTAAAGATGTTTTGAAAAGAAGGCCGACGAGCAGTGAGGGCAGCAGAAGCATGTCCCTCCAACGAGCAGGGTCTGTTTACAGGCGTGATATTTGACACCGTCAAACCACAAATTCATAAACATCTAGCGTGATTGATGGCAGGCTCAGGCTGGCTTGATTGGAATAATGTCCAATTTAAACAAACCAAATTATACATTGTCCGATTTACTCGTTTGAAAACTGGAGTACTCTTTAATTTCATGGACCAATAAATCAAAAAGTGTCAAGGTGCTCTGTTCCAATCAATCTCTTTATGATGGTTGCGAGCGACTTAAAATCGAAATGAGGTTAGGTTCACATGCGATCTTTACGAACTGCAGACTCAGCTGATATCCTACTTCACGTTTCATTTTCTCTCTGGGACTTGGCGAGAGGTCCCTCAAGAAGACTGGAATGGCTCATAAAGCTGAGTGATTGAATTCTTTTGATCATAATCTCTTGAAATACATCAGGCGTAGATATTCAGAATTGCAGATAAACTTAGGTACCCAATAAAGTCTTCTTCAAGATCTTCTGGCGTTGATCAATCCCGTCTGAAGGATGCGCCCCGCATTTGATTTCTATTCAGAATCCTAGTGGCGTATTGAATACGTATTTGACCTATACAGTGACCAGCCGTGTACGGAATTACCGTAGAATCATCATAAGCTTGATCTTTTATCTGAACTTTGAAATGAGCTTCAAAAACCCAAAGCCTAGCTTCACCTAGGATTAAATTGAGGTCATAAATCATAGCACAAATATTTTCTAGTAATAGTTCCTAGAAGTGGTTGTCGGCGTCGATGGAATTGCTCTGCGACAGTAATTATCCTCGTAAGACTATGCAATTGACGACGAAAGTTATAATCAGGTAAGGCACGTTACTGGAAACCGCCTACTTATTTAGCTTCGTGATCTTCGATAATAATAATAATAAAAGATAATTTACGTCCTCTTACGTCGTCGCTCCGCTATTCTATTCATCTATGTTCAAGTTCCCAATCATTTCTTTGGATTAAACAAGATTAATTTCGACCAGTCGTTGTCCTACTTCATCTATTTCGCCAATTTCTGTGACGCTTTTAGAATTCCTAACGAGATATTGAGGCTCATACAATTCTACTTATAAATACGTAGCCCTCCCTTTCCATTTGCATAGCTTGAAATTCAGAAAGCTAGAAAAAAAGAACGGCAAAAATAAATTGCGATAGATGGCCATAACAGAAACGAAAATTCAGTACGGGACTCAGCTCTTACAGTAATCCGGGACGGCATAACCCCCTTTAAAAGACAATTTCTCACCCTTCACATATACGACGCGTCCAAAATGGGTATTAGGCAAGGATATGGTGAAGGTGCTGGGAAGGCTAGAGGTTACTGTAAGAGCCGAGTGCCCGTACCGAACCTTCGCTTCCGTGATTATCATAGGAGCACTGGGACGGAGGGTAGAGGAAGAACAAAGCACCTTCGGAACATCATCCTCCAGCTATCGCTGTGCCGATTGTTGACCTGGTCGAGCGTGATTCCTCTGGATGACTCTTTGATTTCGTTTTTGAATCCGAAGTGATTCTCATCTACTTACTGCTGAATCTCAACCGTTATAGTCTTCATTAAGTTTTTTCTTCCTAAGGCAAAGGTCGGGCTGAGTCCCGACGTGTGTACATATGTTCTCCAAGGCGGAGTGTGAGTTCAGTACTTGCAGTAAGAACTCGACAATTCACGCAAATATTCGCGTCTTTTTCTTCTTTTCTCTATAAAAAATGGAGTAATCGAGGAGATAAGAACACCGCTGAACTCAGCTTGTCGAGCTCTACAGGGTGATACCCTGAAGTATTGCAAATGCTTCATTTTGGATTGCGCCATGCACTTGAGTTCCATC